TAACGTCATCTAACTGTGAGCCGCAGGAACTAAGTTTACCACCTAATATACAAGATATTTCCCGTATACACGTTATTTTATATTAAATAAAATATATTAGTCTTATATCATTCTTATAATTATTTTTATAATCAGTGTTGCTGTCAGAAATATGTAACAAAATAATTTAAACAAAACATTATAATAATAATAGAATTATATTTTGTACTACGAAATGACTCATTTGTTTTATAAGAAAACTAAAAAATACTTTTTTGTGCAAAGAAAAAAAATTAATAAATACTTGCAATTTACAGAATTGCAAGAGAACGTTAATAAACTTTATGAATAAACTACTTTACAAAATAACAAAAAAAAGTAAAAGTATTTTAAAATTATTTTTTAATAAGATTTTGTAACAAATCTGTTATATATCCCAATTGCTCCATTTTTTCTTCGTGCCTTTTGTCGTCTGCTTCGCGTTTCAGTTTTTTTTCTTCCAACAATTTCTCTAAGTAATTGTCCATATTTGCTTTTCTTTTTATCCCTGTAAACAAATATTTTTGTTTCAATAAATTATATATTCTTACACATCTACACACGTATTCGTATATATATTAATTGTTGAAAATGGCCATGCATAGAGATTCTTTTAATCGTTCACCACCTTCCGTTGGTAACGTTTGGATGTTTAGGTGGATGAAGGATCTTTTGAGATATTCACTTTTGTAGAACAGATCGTTTCAATTTGTGGGAAAGTAAAGTGGCGATACATGAGTATTACAACGATATATGAATTGTTGCTCTGTTACGTCGTTCACACTTTCTGTACTGTATACACCCGGAGAACAGATACTGTAATTTCAGTTATTTCAAGTCGCGTTCTTTACATGAAAACAAAATCGGAACGTATTTACACTGTAAAAGAAAAAATAAAATGAAGAAATTTAATGCGTAAGTTACAATAAGAAAGAACAGGTTATTGTAAAACGGAAACGGGAAGAGGACTAAGTAGTGTAAAAAGTGTACGCATCGTGCATCACTTCTAAATTATAGGCTAAGAGCCCTATTCTGTAACTAGGTGTTACTAAATAATATTTATACGATAATGACTGTCTTGTTAACAACCTCTGAATGATAATTTGTAAAAGACTATTCTATAACCACGTCGTTAAAGTCTAAATGACTATCTCCGTTTAACGAATTTTATTAGTAGGTTGGTATTAAAATTGTATAGTTTACTCACATAAGCTACAGATTCTCAGTATAAACAGTACACATCGGAACATAGGTTAAAATAGTAGAAAGTTAAAAATATTTAGATTTTCTTCGCACTCGGTAATTATTTAGATATAATTATCATTATATATATATATATATATATATATATATATATATATATATATATATTATATATATAAATTACATATATATATTCTTTTGTAAAAAATGAATAATAGTGAAGAAAAGAAGAAACGAGCTGCTAAAACTACGCGTAGGCAATATGAAATATATTTGAAAGAACTCCGTGTAAATCAATTATTTAGAGGGCTCGGGACAGCTAATTTCGGTCGATTCTCGGGAGCTACGTCTTCTATCTCCCTTTTGCCACGCGGCGGGCCTCAAAAGTGACGGTTGCTTCAAGCTTGGAGACTCGACCGTCACTTTTGTGACCCGCTTGCGGCAAGGGATATAGAAGGCGTAGCTCCCGAAAATCGGCCAAAATTGACAAACTGTTCCGAGCCCTGATTTAGGGAAAACAAATTAGATGCAACCTAATATTATTGAAGATTCGTGGCAGAATTTCTGCCAAAAATTAAAAGCTTCTGGTGGACTAATACCCAGTGAAAACAGCTTAGTCAAAATGATGTCAATATGACATTAAAAACGTCGTTTGTTATCATTGCGTTAAAAATATAATTCAATTTGATGAAAAATTGACATCAAATAAATTAATTGTTGTGCGCAATAAAATTTCATAAAAAAAAGGTAAAAATGGATGTTTAGATGATTATTGTAGTATTATAGGCAGAAATGTAACCCACGTCATGTTGAAATCAAAATGACTACAGGATAATAAGACTATTTAACTTATTCTTTTATGATTTCTTTCTTTTTCTTTTATTCTGAAAAGTTTCCGTTTTTTTGTTGTTTTGCCGTTGTTTTGTTTGGAGTATGTGGTGGTTAGGTTCTAATTAATTGACTCTTTTTTTATAACATGAATACATTACTATATTTGGTCTATCATATATGTATATATGTTCTTATTTCTATAGATCGCTACGCTATTTTTCTCTAAACATTTTTCTCTAAACGCCGGAGGGTTCGCCGTTGTCGAGCGTTCAGGCGAGGTTCGCCGTTCTCTTTATTCTCGTTGATGTAGTGGGGGGAAAGTGGTTCCTTTGCCTGCCGATGGTAGTAGTAGACGTCAGGTTGCTTCTTCCTTTCTTGCGACCTGTTGCATTGATGACTGTGCTGCTGCGGTTGCTTCAGTAGTCTGTCGAACTCAAATGCATGAAGAACGAGCTTGTTGAGCTGTCTGGAAAGGATTCTTCTTTCTGCAGAAATTGAGGCGACCTTAGTTACCTCCCAGCTAGAGAGACCTGTATTCGATCTGCTTGCTTCGCGATATCCTCTAGTGGGTCCTGTACTCGTGTGGCTAGAATTTCCTGCAATTGCGCAGGAAGGCGACCTAGTCAGGGCTTGCACAGGAAGGCGATCTAGCCAGAGCTTGCGAAGGAGTGCTTCCGGGGTATTCTTTGTTAAGCTATGGAGATGGTGTTGAAATTGTGAAGGTTTTCGGTCTCCTACCTCTTTGTGCTCCAGAAGTTGTCGAATTCGCTGTTCTTCTTGCAAGGCTTGTTGAATTAGAGCCATTCTGGCTGCAATATATCTCTCCGTGTCCGATGAGTTCATTGTGGCGTCCTTGGCCTCTCTGGCATATTTCGCATTTAGTTGAGAGAGGACGTGCGCGTATTTGGTGGAATCTTGAGTGATTCCGTGGAGAGTAAACTGATTCTCGAACACTGCGAACCAGAATTCGGGTTCGTTTAGCAAAAACGTCGGAGCAAAGACGACGCTATTAACGTGCTGCCCATCTCTTCGCGTCTCTTGGACGTCAGCCTGATCCATTTTTCCGCAGTAGCCCCCTTTGTCTTCACTGTAAAGTCCTTTTCGCCAATTTATAGCGCCCCTTTTCAGCGGTTATCGCAGTTGCCAAAATCAGCACGTTTTTCAGTGCTAATATAGCGCGTATTGCAGCGCCTTGGTAGGTGCTCAACTATCCACAGGGGCCTCCTTTTATAGGCCCCTTGGTGAGATTTTTCCTTCGAGCACAGTGATTTCGCCGAACGACGCCTAGCGGTGGAGTCACGGACTACGCGTTCTCTTAAGGTCGTTCTACATTAGTTGTAAGTCGATTGCAACCAGAGCTGCCACATGTAGAACCGGGTACGCGTAACTATAGTGCGTGCGGCGTAACGCACACAAGCGAAGAACTGTGTACGTGTGGGCTGCCTGTCACAAACTATAGCGCTTGGCGCTTCGGCCAGGCTCGGGCGGTGGAAGAGTGCAGACGTACAAGCCGCCATCTCTTTCCCTACCTATAGCTATAGCCAGAGAGAAGCCTGAGAGCGGCCACGCCATATATTTTGGCCGACACCGATTTTCACGCTGGTTCGATACGCCATCTGCACCCATTTTTGAGATGGAACTACGTTCCCTACGCCCATTTTCAGACGCTGCAGGTAAAGCGTCAATTTGGTGCGTGTCCATGCTGCGCCCATTTTGTAGCGGTTCGTATCCGTACTAAACGCATAATTGCGTAGTTGCGAACATGGACCATCGCGCACAGATTTATATTCCATTCAACATGCACATGATCTTTTCTCTTTACACATTGTCATAAATTTATTTGTACATATATATGCATATAAAATATCACTCTCAGTTGAAATGTAATTAATAAGGAGATGACGGCAACCGCAAAATAAATCTCAGAATTAAATATAGCGCGTTCGTAATATAGAGTATCAAAACCCTAAAAGGATTTGGATGAATGGACCTTCGTTTCCGAAATATTGCGATGCAAAACGAGAGCTATGCCACATATAAGGCATAACGTAGCATGGTTTTTCGGCGTAGCTGAGCAAACCAAAGCTCTTGCGGCGATCTTTTTTCCGCCGGCAGCGAGCGTACGAATCCAGCCTACGAGAAGAGAATACGACGGCGTGCAATGTTTTTTTTTTTCGTACTGTCGGACATATATGTATACCTACAGTATATATATATATATATATTTTTTTTTTTATTTCTATGCCGATGTATAATTGTTATATGAGCAATTAGGACAGTGTCACGTCGCGGTAATGGAAAATAATGGGAAAACATACTGTTTATAATCATTATGGTCATTAGATATAATGTGTTGAACGTATTTCACTGTGCATAATATGAACAAAATAAATGTATAATTCGAACAAAGCAGTCACATAACACGTTATATAAGAGTTACATCGTTAAGTAGGAAGTTACAACAAACATGTATGTTTCGATATTTGTTTTGATATTTGAGGCTTTCGTATGTATGTTATATGTTAATTGTTACATTGTGTTTGTTGAGATACTTCTCTGCTCATGTACAACTTGTTCGAATTATATATTAATTTTTTTCATATTGTGCACAGTGTAAAACGTTATGACATAAGTCAAGACATTATGTCTACATTATGATTGTAAACAGTATGTTTTCACATGATTTTCCATTACCGCGACGTGACGCTACCCTAATTGCTTACATAACAATTACATCGACACAGAAACGCTATATATATATA